CTAGAGCTTCGAAAATTCTCCACGAAGGTGAGCAATATTCAAAGAAAAGTTCAGACTCGTCGCAAGAGACAAGTCGTCTGTAATGTAAAGGTTAAGAACACATATTTCGTCGCACAAGTTCTTAACTTCTCTAACTCCATTTTTCAAAAAAAATTTACTTAATCAATCTACGTGCATCTCATTGGCCGAGAGAATACAAATTCACCATAATATCAAGAAAATTCAACCTAGAAAATAACAAATATTCGTCTAAGTCCTAACTCCGCAACTGTGAAAGTTGTTTTTTCTCAATTGCTGTATCTCCAAATACTAACAACAATTAGAAATACGTACGTGGATAATAAGATAAAATTTTGTTAAATATTGTGATACATAGCTATTCCATAGATGATATTATAATGTGTTTGATTATTTCACTACTTTCCTGCTTCTATAATATTAAACTTGAAACTCAGTTCCCTGTTCAGAAACTAGTAGGGATAGAACAATTAAGAACTAGAGCGACGATTTCCGTAAACTCCTTTCACCAATAACATTGTACGCAAAATTCACTTCTATGGTCACGACCACAAGTTTTAAATCGTGCTGTACAATCCCATCCACGCTCAAAACCGACGCAAAGCGAAATTTTCCAGCGCGCGTAACCGATCAAGCCAGGGGGCAGGCGGCGTCGTTAGTTCGTGCATCATAAAGGCAGTGGCAAAGACACTCGTTCCGCGAGATTAACCATGAATATTTCACTGGTGCTCAGGAAATAAATGAAAAGGACCGACCGTCAGACCAGCGTTCACGTCCTACCTTCATCCCTGACGCAGACATCAACGGAACACGGAGAACCGTCGATTAGCGACGTAGGTACTTTGCCGTGATCCTGATGGCAATTAAGCAGCGACTCGCGGTGCGTCATTAAAATTATAAAACCTTCGGTGAGGAGAAGAGATCGATCTGTCGCTCTCCCACGCGCCATTAATGCCCGTTAATTCGCCACCGAATATAAAATGGCCCACGGAGCTCTGTCGGGCATTCGATCGATCGAGCCGGCCCAGTCCTCGCTCGCATATATACGAACGAAAAGAACCGATCCCAACTGCCCACTGGGCTTTCATTAATGCCCACGTCGGCGCGCAATTACGATCGGTAATTTCAGATTTTCTATACCTCCGGACACCGGTGGTGGTCGTGCGGGGCACGCACGAGAGAGAAGGTAGCCGTATACAGGATGTTAAAAAATATGTGGGACATATTCACAGGATGCATTCTACGTGTAACACTTACAAGGGAACATACAGAACCCACACACACCGATTTTAATGAAACTTATATTGAAGATAGTTCTCGAAAAAATATTTGACATGTTTTTTCTTGTATCGACTATCATCCATATTAAGGGGTTGATAACAGCCCCCAAAGTCGAGGGATGAAAATAGATATTTTAGAATATCTCGGAAACTAGAGGGAATAGAAAAAACTTATTTTCCTTTAAATGGTGTGTTTTTGAATGATAAATTTAGTCAAGTAAGAAAATTAAACAAAAAATTCAAATTTTTCCGAGATACAGTAAAGGCTCCATGAGAGTTGGATAGAAAGTTCCTCGTGAGAGTTTCTACTTCATCCCCACCACTAGGGAGTGGGGATGCCATGGAACCTGTCAAGTGCATAATTACTACCCCCCCCCTGCTTTTCTTACCGAGGCTGAATTTTCGGACAAAAAATAGATTTGTGAGGTGTTGATACGATTCTCGATCCACCGTGAAAGTTTCCAAGCGTTCTCGAGTTTCAAACACTCATAAAGCGTTTACAGTATTCCAAAATCTATAGTCAACATGAACGATGACCAATAAAAAAAATATATGTCTAATATTTTTTCAAGAACTATCTCCCACGTAAGTTCCATTAAAATCGACCAGTACAGGTTCGGTACGTTCCCCCGTTAGCTTTACAATGTCAAATTCACCTTGTAAAAGTCTCCCACATCTTTCTTAACACCCTGTATACTCTCCGATCGCTATTCCCCGGAACACTGCCGATCATCGCCGGACCGCCATTGTTCAACCATGGAATATACGTGCAACACGCATACCACACACGCACACGACAGTGGCCAAGCCGTGGCCAAGCGTTTTTAGCATGACGCGGCGACACGGTGAAGCGTGCAATACCTCGGCCAGACGACCGTACATTAAGCGGAGGTGGGCCTCCCCCGTTCTTGCCGCGCGGGCGCCTGTAACGTTATAGTAGGTCGGGGGCATTAAATTTCGGACGATGATTTGTGCGCGAAATTAGTCGCGGTACAGGCATGCTTCGCGAGCACTAGCGCGCGCAAGGGCCCGATCGCCATTCACCGCGGACAATGACATATGCAATATGTATACGTGTATAGGAACGTGGTGTTTTATGGGCTGAACGGCACGGGACCAGGACGGTGAGTTCGAAGATCGTCGGTTTTTTGTGAAAGTCTGTAGCCGATGTGTCCTTGGAGGCCTAGGGGATAATGGCTAATACGGTTACCCCCTTGGTCTTCGTTTTTTCTTTTTCTTCGAAACTTCCGACACGATCGATTTACATAATTGTTAGCCGCGTGTTTTTTGCTAGTTTGTTCGGGATACCGATCGAGGATATCGGCTGGTAAATATTTGGTTTTTATTTGGAATTCGACACGTTCGCGTGGTTGGTAGCCGATGATCGGCGTCATTAAATTATGCGATGGAATCTTCAATTCTTGAATATGGAGAGTTTTACTATGTTGTATTGTATGTGAATATATGTTGGGATTAATCTTTATAGTATTATTTATTTGTATAGAAACTTGGTACAATTGTCTGAAATGAACATATGCAGAAGATTTTTTAGCGTTTTACATAGGTATGTTCATTTGGTGACAATTTTACCTAGTTTCATCAAAATCGAAAAGTGGACCTTTTTGGAACTACGTCCATATTTTAGAATACATGTGTAAATAATGAACTGATGTATTCTGTCACGACGTTTCTATTACGATCAAGGATCTGTACTGTTTCATTTATGTTCATAATGAATTTCGAAAATTCTACACCATTTATCTCACAGCGAAGGGTGGAGAAGATATTTTTAACTTAAAATATGTCGTTTCACAATTGGAAAAGAGTTAAAAAAGAAAATGAGTTACTTATTGGTACACCTAGGACAAAGCATGTGACATATTGACAAGTTACGTAAATAAAGTCAAACAATCAAATGCAAAATAAGAAATAATAAGCACTTCTTATTGTAGAATCGAATCCATGTTAGAACAAGTAGTATTGCTTCATAAACGAATTGAACTTGTTTCCAAGTGAACTGAATCATAATCTGATTTATTATAATTACATAAATAAATCAAATATTGTAAGTTTTCTGATTGTAGTAAGTATTTTTTCGAAATAATTTAAGCGAATTTTCAAACGGTATAAATTACCTGCAAGTTTCATTTTTTTATATATTTGAACAACAACGGTTTTGACAACAAAACTATCGGATACTTCAAGTGAATTGTGCCGAAAGCGACTATTTGTAGCAGATAGACCATTATGAAAGGAAAAATGCAATATCTACGAGCAAAAGCAATTAACAGGATGCTCATTACGTGACGCGTCTGCGCGAAATTACCCCGTGAACCGATAATCATTCTAAAATAGACGAGCGTCGTCCACTTTTGGTAATGGAGGTCTTAAGTGACGGGTAAAGTAAGGGCCCGTGAAAATGATTCACCATTTGTATGGAATACACATTACTGCATGTACACGGGTACGTACCGTGGATCTGTACCGTACTTAAAATTCACTTTTAACGTTTAGTAATATTTTTTTAATTCTCTTCTTTTGCGCAACGTTTCGAAACTGAATAATAGTATAAAATAATATCGATACATTATGCGGAAATAGAGATGTTGTAATAAAAGTTTTTCCATTAATTTCTTATTCCGAAAAACATACAGCGAATGCATTATTTTCGTTATAACAGTGATCGTGTTCTCCTGCCATTGTTCCACACGTGGTTCAACGCAGCTGTTAAGATATTCTTACGTGAAATTGATTTCGTCCTTTTGCACACGACCTAGTAACAGCACACGGAAATTTCGTACGCCCACGCTTAGGCCTTTTCTGGCAATAGAAATCAAGGATATAAAAGGTGGGCAGGGAATGTGGGCGAACTTGTGTCGCGAGCACGTTCGTTCCTATATACCCTTAACAATAACTTTATGGTAGATAAAAGTGCTTTCGAACTATTTATGCGCTCCGACCGTTTCTCACAAGGACGAAATTATAATCTGCAATTTTCTATAACAATAGGCCATTTCCAATCGAAAAATTGAACGTAACTATTCCCCTTTTCGTGAAATCCGTTTGGAATTTATGCAAGATTCAATCAAACATCAAAAGATTTTTCAAAAAGTAAATGTTATTCCTCGCGTAATTGTAAGTTACTAGGGAAAAAGGTGAGGTTGGCGAAGAGCCTCCTACCATTTAGTTTTGGGAGTTACTGAAATTTATGCCAAATTAACATTCGGTTTAACATTTATTTCAGTACTTGAAATACATTTACTAAGTGGTAGGAGACTTTACTTCCACGTCACTTTTTCCTCTAGCTGAAGCCGAGTTTGCTTACGAGGGTACCTGCGTGTAAGGGTATTTGATTCTCTCTAGTTAAAAAATTTCATGAAGTACATCAGACCCCACAGTTCACTAGTGAAGAGTTAACTATACCATTCATTAACCCCTTCAACAGGGAAAACATTTTTGCCACTGTGAAGTATGTTACTTAGAAAGCTGACCAAAATTCCAATTTTTTAACTTAATTACTAAACTTTTTTTTGCCATTTTTGTGACGTCGAATTGCATACAAAAGTATAAGCAGACAAGACGGACAGACCCTCTCTCTCTCCCTCTCCACTTCAGAGGGTTAAGAACATTAGAAACAAAAGAACATTACCAAACACGTCTTTTCGTCCGAACGATAAAAAGCAAAGTTGATCAAAAACTCACCAAGACATCCTGCAGCAGTTCGTGCTCGTCGAGAAGTATCACCTTGCAGTGAAGAAGACGAGGCCTACGGCTTCCGGCTGGCCGAAGTCCAGGACAGAGCCACTCTACCACCATCTCTTTCCACGGCAGCCCTCGTTTCCCTTGTGATTCCTTCCTAGTTTTACTCGTTCATCCGCTCATCGGTTTCGGTCATCCTGAAAGATGAGGAGGACGCTGTAATCCGATCAAACTGTCAACGTGCGTGTCCGTACATACCGACGAGCTTCACACACACGCGCGCGCGCAGGTTCTTTACGGAGGAAAGGAAAGATGAAAGCTGCGGGACGGTTAACCCTTATATGCCTCGGAGAAGCCATTTCTTTCCGCCGTAAAAAATAAACGAATCGCACCGCACGTCGCGTATAATATTTTCTCGTTGCCTTTTATTATTTGATGGGACCATTTCGAAAAATTTGATCTATTATTTCGATTTATTTATTTTGACGGATGACTCTCTGCACTCCAGGACTTTTTTTTATTAGAAATGACAAGAAACCTCAAGATATCTTTGTTGTGTCCATTCTGAAACGTTGAAGTATTGTTTTCATAATGATAATTTATAATATTTACAAAAATTAAAATTTTATTTGTTAGTTGAGTTTGTACGGTGATACAACACAAGTGCAAAGGATTAATATCATTTATTATAGAAGAATTAGAAACTCTGTTGTTTCAGTTTATAATTTATGACTACGGTTGAAATCTTTCTTAGTCATTTTTAGGAACACAACTGGAGAATTGTTAGATTGTTCGAAATTTTTAATCCTTGAAAAGACGATGTGTTAAAAGTAAATGTAGAAGTGCTACACATTACAATATTGAATTTGACATTTGTCATCTGTTCATTACAATTTTTATATAATGTGTAGAAAGACAAGATTCTTTCGTTTCATTTAAATAACATTGACACACACAACGTACCAGTCTCGTGGTACTATTAATCCTTTCGTTCTCATTGTTGCCCTATGGCTACGTAATTTAAATCACGAAATAAAATAGTAGTATCATGTATTTTTTCACATTTGTGAGTATATAATAATTTCTGCTAGTCTTGTATGGAAAGTAATTCAGGTTATTTCATCTGACGTAATTTGACGTAATTCAGGTATTGAACATTGTTACAAGTACAATAGAAATTTACAAAACTCTAATTTCAAATAGTTCAAGAGGGTTTCTTGCTCCAAGGTAAGAGAAACTGGATTTTATTATGTATAATGACATAATAATGAGAATTATTACTATTTTGAAAGTAAAAAAGTTGCAAATGGCAACGAATGAAAAACGGTATTAGACGGTTTCAAAATATTAAAATGCTCTTTTGAATCATTCATATGTCATGTAATGTACATAAAAATACAACAAAATATTTCTTTAATAATTTTTAAATAATTTTGGAATCAGAAGGTCAATTGCTCGTAGGTACAACCGTCAAGTTTTACTTTCTCAAGGTACTTAACCCATTAATCCCGACGAAAATTCACCAATCTACAGACAATTTTTTTCATGATATCTAGTGATAATCGAATATCCATTTAGAAATCGGTTGAAAAAAAATGAATTCGGTATCAATGAGCTAAAACTGATTTTGTACTATTTTTTTATCGTTTAACGCACATGTTTTATAAAACGGCATTCTGTATTGTAGCGTACAATGCATTGCTCTACCCACCGTGAAATGTCAATATAAATTCCATTTCTAGACCGTTTCACTCTTTTGTGTACAGAAGTTTAACGAATGAAATCCAGCTTCCGATAGAATTGCATTGTCCTGTGGACGATTAACTCGAGGAGTGAATGAAACAGAATTAAAAATTGCCGTTGGTTCCTCGAACTCGGACTGAACGTTTATGACGTTCAACGAAATCAATTAAAAACGGTCCCCGCACAATACCCGGACAAATGACCAAATTAACTAATGCCATTGAACGGGGGAATTACTCGTCCGCGGGGGAAATAGAATAATGAAACATCGTCGACGAATCGCAAAACGACCGACACAACACCACTGTGCAGGGGCTAACGACTCGACCCCGATGAACAGAACCGTTCCGAAAAGAAAACTTGCTCGTTAATCAGTCAGCAGGAGGATACTGTTCGATCTGATCGTTAATCAGACGGATATCTATCGTCGTGTCGTCCACTGGGATCCGCGAACGGGACACGTTTCCGCGACTAATAGAGTCGACTTCTCCACAAGAAGACGAACAGGAAGAGACTAGGAGGACACGGTTGCACGAGGAGGAAAAGGAGGACACGAAACGAAGGTGAATTATCTAGATCTCGTAGACTGTCGTCGACGAAGTCGCGCGGAACAGTAGGACGATTGGCTACGCTCGAGTTCGTGTAGGCACTTTTTAATCGTTACCCAATTCACGGACGACTTTTTCAATAATTGATGGTTAAACTTTTATTTGACCCTGATCTGCTCATTTATCGTCACGTTTGTATCACTTCGGATAAAATTACTTCAAATTTCGAAATAATTCGTTCTGAAGAAATGGGAAATACATAAATAGTAGATATAAAATTTAAATACGTTGGATATTATATATAAAAATTTAGAAAGATAATAAAAATTGCATAATAATCCTTCTTTAAAAAATAAATTAATGTACAGGGTGTCCCGAAATAGGTGTAAGTCCTTGAAAGGGGTGATTCCTGTGGTAGCGCATAGCCAACGTTAGCGCAGGAGCTCAGCTGGCAGACTCGCCCTCTGATTGGCCTGGGTTTTTCGTTGATATCTCGTTAACAATGCCTCGGAAAACATTTTCGCTAAGAAAAAAATTGTTTCAAATCACCCCAGGAATCCCCCCTTTCATGGATTTACAACTATTCTAGGACACCCTGTATAATTAGTAGATAGCGGTTGTTTACACGTTTAAGGTGTAGGTATACCAGTAAATAACCCACGACTGTTTATAAAATTCTACGTTTTCTTGTAAAGAACTCACAAGTTTATGCTACTTTATTCACATTTGTTAATTACCGCCAACATCCTATGTCATTTCGACAGAACAAGACATGAGACAGGTATTCCGAATTTAAATTCTATTGCACCCTTACCATAGTGAACTATTTATTGGTACACCTAACAGTAATAAAGTAATACAGTTCAACGACTATTCACGTGTTATTATTAAGATATTAAAAGTTCTCGTACAAGAAATAAAACATCCAAGACCGTGAAGTTGCACAAACATCCGCAATTAACATATTAAGACTTCCCAGTATAGGTAATAAAATGTCTAAACTTGCATAAATATTCGCAATCTAACGATTAATCGATGATCTTAACAGGTTATTATCATTCCTGAAGACCTGATCGACTATACGACATAGAACCCACCAACTCCACACGAGCAACAACATAATAATATACATTAAAACATACGAATGCAACGATAAAAGAGCCATCACGAACAACCAATGACAACACACTAGTCGTAAAAAGTTAATCAATCTCAAACGCACTAGACGTTGTTGATTAATAGTTTACATCGGATACTAAGCGTCACGGCTAAAAAAAAAACCCAGGCCCCCCCCCCCCCTCCCCCGTTCTATTAATAAAGAGCACGACGAGTTTTAAGTGTTGATAAAGTTACTAATGCGTCGTGCGTAACGTTAACGCAAAATTAAGATGTACGCTACCGAGGAGAGATGGATGCATGTATGCATGGCGCTAAACCTCGACACCAATTACCCTCCCCCGGGTGAATTTATACCCCGTTTACAAGCCCCGAAAATTCCACGGGCCATCGACGCGTTTGTTTCAAGCGTATCGGGCAAATTTATGCACGCCCCTAACCGCTCATAATTACCGTACTATGAGCATTATTTACATAACAAGTTCCAGCGAACAAACAGCATCAACAACGTGAAATCCGCGCGAGCGCACGGGGCTGTTCCTCGCTTAATTCCCTCTTTAAGACACATTCGAGGCCCCACAAATAAACGAGGCGAGAGAAGGAAAGAGAAAGAGAAAACAACGATAAACACAGGTGTAACGGGAATAAACGTGATGTTTCACGGCAGCCAATGAGCGAGGCTCGTTACGTTTTACAAACCGAACGACGTGGACCCGTGCTCAGAAGCCTAGCGAGTCGAAAGAGCTGTGTGGATCATCGACGGATCCGGAGATTTTATTTTACGATCGACCGGTGCCCCCTGGACAGGCTCGAACGGTCTTGGTTGATTTGCTAATCGAGAGGGCCACGAATTTATTTCCAAACGCTGCCTCCGAGCCCACGATGCTTCCTGTTACCACCTGAAAAATCCTAAACAGCCTCGCGCGCCATTCGATTTGTACCGTTAACTCGTAGTTCCGTCGTAACATCTCGAATACGATTTGCCTGGCCTATTCGACGTACATACGTTACATACACTACCGGTCATAAGTATTAGGACACCTGGTCTGTATAAAGAAAATGCAATTTTCGAATAGAAATGATGTATTTTAGGCCAGTTTTATTAGTTCATAGTAGCATAAGCGATGTCCATCGAGCTTTAATATACCTTACACAATATTCATTTAAAGTGGCTTCCGCAAATTTTTAATAATTATAAATTTAGTTAGGAGTTTGACAGAACATTCTTAAAAGCTTCAATTTTCGATTGCTACTCAAACATCGCAAGACCAACGATAAAATTATTAAAGAAAAATTGTTACAGGAATTTATTTTTAACACAAGCCTTACGGAACTGTAGTTGATATTGAGAAGTTAATCACTTCTTATTTAGTTACAAAAAATGGTATTTTCATAAAAAATTAGGTGGTTCTAGATTTTTTTACGGAAATTGTGATGGCACGAAAAAAAGGATATGTTAACGATCAAATAAAACTGAAAATTAAGATCAAATTATGCAAACTTAGATTTCAATGCATTTGGTAGTATCTTCTACGCATGTCTGCTATGTGTGTCAACGTCGTGTGTTTTCCTTTGGTTTGTTCGACGAACTTTCCAATTTTTTCTTAAAAATTAAAACAAAAATTAAATTTCTTTTACAGTAAGGAAACAAATTTTTGTTTCTTCCACTTATTTGTACATTTCTTCTCCATTTAAGTATTTTGAAATAGT